TTGATCTTTGGTGGGTAAAGTAACTCGGCAACCTCTCCGTTGGACTCGAGTGTGGTCTTTCGAGCTCAAGTCCCGCTTTTTCTTGTGACGACAGTGTCGTGAGTGGCGCAGGTCGAGTGTTCCGCACTGATTCATGGTTCTCCTTTCTTCGGTGTACGTCCGAAGGAAGAGATCCGAGTAGTTCGACAGGATCTTTGCGGCCGGCTTCAACCACTGGAGTCGGAGGAGCAGTATGCGACCTTGGTCTGCCACTGGAGGGTTCAAGAAGTTGGCCGGAACCAGATGAGCGCGACGACTGGAGTTGTGAAGTCCGCACAATATCCGTCACAGCAGCTAGAAGGTTGGTCGCGGACTCGACGTACGCGTCATGAAACCCCAGCGACTTCTGCGACGCGTCGCCAATGGGGGATGTAGAGAGGTCAAGAGGAGAAGGCTGTGGTGTGTTGTGCTTTGCTTTCTGCGTTCGCTTGTTAATCCTGAACATGGTGGATGGAGGAGGCGAGTGCAAAAGGAAGCTGACTACATGTCAGGAAAGGAAGGCATTGTTTACCTTGGTAGCTCTGATAGTAATATCGACAGGGATAGAAACAACACCGCCTTCAGCAATGGCCTCATGGATGTTACGACGATCACCTTTGGACCATGTGAAGAACTTGGAAGCCATCATGGTTACCCCGATTCATTGCGCGCTGTAAACGAAAAACAAGTACAGAATGGAGAGTGTCGGGTGTCGCGCCTGACGGAATGTGTGGATAACATAGCGGAGCAGCACCCACTATCGCCATGAAGAGCAGATGGCAGGTCGCGCTCGAAGCTTACCTTCACCATTGGTCACCGCCGGGCATAGGCGCCCAGGACCGATCTTCATGTCGGCAGCCCACACTTAACATCATCTCACCAACAGGATCCTGGTGCACCGTGGCCAGGGTGCGGTACGGGTAGGGTGACATGAAGCGCGGGGGTCAGCATGTGCGGCTGGAGATGCCATGCCTAGTGTTAGCCGACGCCTGAAAGGCATAGGGATTGAGTCGCTTGTGCGGTTCTGTTCCTGACCCGGTTCCGTGATGAAACGCAAGGTAGGCCATGTCCGGGGGTGTGCGGTAGTAGCTCCCGTACACGGCCAATAAGGAGATGCGAGAGTCAAGCGCCTGTTCAACTCGAGGTCGAATTAGACTCGGATGTGCGACGCGGACGGGCGCGCGACGTGCCAAGACCCAGCCGGCTGCGTCCGCGAACTCTTGCATTGCCTTTCATGTGCAATCAGACCGGCAGTCAATTCATCCTAACAATTCTCTTTCTCATCTGAGAAAAGAGGCTGTTCACAAAGCAGGACGAGGGCTCGCAGGATTAACACTTGCATGCGTTAGAACAGTCGAGGCCCGGAACACAAATCAGTACTAAGCATTAATATTGGTACGTGCATAAGCACTTGGACGCCGGACGCGTGCTTACTCTCATTCGGCTCGGTCGCCTTACACCACACCACACCCTCACTCCGCAGCGGTGTAAGAGCAGCACCTGCCATGGCACCAAGAGACGAAGACCAAGACCGCCCTCGGCAGTCGTCGGCGAGTCCGGCTCCCGACCGAAGACACAGGCGGTCTCACCGCTCTGGAAAGGACTCCTCCCCAGCCGAAGGTCTCCTTTAGAGGACCACGACCGTCGTCGCTCGAGCAAATACGACAGCAGAAGGCGGAGGACCCCTGACGACGAATATGAGAGCAGGCGGAGAAGGAGGGATGACCGCGACAGGGATGGGGAACACAAGAAATCCAGCCGCAGCAAGCGCTCCGTGAGCCCTGCAGAATCAGGCGACTCAAGACGGCGGTCACCTCCCAGGAGACAGCGAAGCGACGGGGAGGATAGGCAGGTTGCTCGACGACGCGACTACTCCCGCAGCCCCCGTAGAAATAGAGATCGCGATAGGAGTACAGACCGCCGTAGACGGGATCGTTCAACGTCTGGAGGCCATTCGCGCAGGAAACGCTACTCACGATCTCCCCACCCAAGCGCCTCAGACGCTCGCCCAGCCGTTCAGCATCACGCTCTCCGCCAAGGCGATCACGCGGTCCACTGCCGTCACAGCAAGAATCCTTCCGCGGACAAGACAACCCTCCAAATGCCGTCGACAAACCTATCGAGAAGGAGAAGCCCAACTTCAGCTCCACGGGCCTACTGGCCAAGGAAGCCAACACTGTCGCCGGGACCAACATTGTGCTGAAATACCACGAGCCGCCCGAGGCACGCAAACCACCGTCGAGCGAACAATGGCGCATGTACGTTTTCAAAGGGAAAGACATGCTTGACACAGTATACCTTCACACACGCAGTTGCTGGCTCATGGGCCGTGACCAAGCCGTGGTGGACATGGTCTTGGAGCACCCGAGTATTAGCAAACAGCATGCGGTCATTCAATTCAGGCATATCACGAAGACGAACGAGTACGGCGACCGAGAGAGCAAGGTCAAGCCGTACTTGATCGATTTGGAGAGCGCGAACGGAACGCGACTGAATGGTGAGAAGGTCGGAGCGAGTAGATATATTGAGCTGGTGGATAGTGATGTGATTGGATTTGGCGACAGCGAGAGGGAGTACGTCATGATGCTGCCACCTGCGTGAAGTTCGGATCATGGAACGAAAACACCAACATCGAATCTGCCCTTTGCCGCTTGTCTGTATAATCGTTCGCGATCTCGTTCATCGTCGGCGTCGCCCTTCCAGAGAAATCACAATGTCATCACTATTACGGCGGCCCACGCGGACCCCGAGCGTCGAACTCCCGCTCCTCATGCGAATATATGTACCGTCGTCATCGTCCTCGTTCGCAAGAGATGCCACGATGAAATGACCTACAGAATCGCCAGCTTGTCAAAAGCTGCTCCTACCGCCTCCAATGCACCACTTGTCTATAGTATAGCATGGCGCATCCACACCGCCACTGCACAACCTAGAACCGCCCACCTACGACTCGCAACCCGGACCCTAGCAACCTCGATCAAGGGGTCGAGTCCGTCTCCCACCGACGAACCCAGCGATGGCATAAACCCACCCGTCACGACCCTCCCCCGCCTCTGGAACTGCCAACAAGACAACCGGGCCAGAGCAAACCGGTCTACTGGTTCAAGATCGGGCGCAGTTACGCAAAGTTCTATTGGGTGGGCTGCAAAGCGACATGGGCGAATCACAGAAGGGCGCGGGTGCTCAAACGGACCAGACAGGCAATGATGGACGTCAACGCTCGTGCGGGAGCATCCGGTGCGGTACTCGCTGCATTTCAAGACGCAAGCGCAGCAGAAGCGGCAGTAAAGAGGCAGGAGAAGCCAGTCGTCTTGCCGGAAGGACCCGAACCGCCATTGGCGCACGATGCGGCGGTGCAGAAACGATTACAGCTTCCGCGCTCGCTGCCGACGCTGTGCGCGCAGCTTGTGCGGCTGGGAAAGCTCGATCGGGCGGAGTATCAGATCTTGACTAGGGACAAACATGACATGGGCAAGCTTCCACTCTTCGGCTTCCTCGTGCTCATTCTGGGCGAGTATCTTCCGCTTTTCGTACCCTTCATGCCAGGCGTAGTGCCGCGCACCTGCCGGATCCCAAAACAGGTGCAGAGCATGCGCGAAGCGGGCGAGAAGAGGCGACGAGAAGCATTCAGACTAGGCACGCAATCTCCGACGTTCGAGCAGCTGGACAAGGTCAGATTAGTCAAGAACGAAGAGGGCGATCCACGCAGCACGACTGTGCTTGACTTGGGTGTCAGAGAAGAGGGGATGTGCAGATCATCCTGAAGGACTCGCCTGCCCGCGCGTCGCAAGAGGCGGAAAAGCGCACCCCGGTGCCAGACCCGATGCTCAGCCGTACCTATGTTGGTGCTCTTCTTTCGCTTCTCACGCCTGCGCAGACACTGCACATGTCTACCGCACTTGGGACCCATCGCCGTCTGTGGGATCGGATTGGGTTGAAGCCCTACGGGCTGATGCGCCGCGGCGTGGCGAAGCGGCTGCATTACCTAGCCATTGACGACACTTTGTTGATTCGGCAAGGCGGCGTGGAGAGGTTGACTGAGCAGGAGGTGGAGATTGCGTGCGAGGAACGTGGGATTGATGTTGTGGGGAAGCCGACGCATGTGCTAAAGAGGGAGCTTGGTGCGTGGTTGGACGGGGTTGAAAAGGATGAGGGCGCGGGTCGGAGTGTGGTGGAAATGCTGTTCAAGAGGTAGGTTCAGAAAGAAATCGTCAAGGATCGTGAGCTGATGCGAAGCAGGCCGAATTCTTGGAATGGCGCTTCCATGTCCTCGAAGGAAGGGACGGCTTGATTGCTCGGCGCAGAGGAACGGGGAAAGACCTCTGTCTCGGTCGAAGGCCTGTACAAGGAAAAGCGTATGTACGATGTTGGAATCTGTATACATAAGGGAACATGACGACTATACATCTCTGTAACATCTTGACATCCTGGGAGATCTGGGAAATGTCCTAACATCGACCTATACCGTGCACAGTCTGGCATTGTCAGCCTCTTGGAGAGGATCAGGCAGAAGTTCTTCGGTTTGGTACTGTCGAGGACACAGCCAATCCTTGTCCCAGAGGGGTGGAAACCTCGGTGCAGAAGCACAAGGTCATGCAAGTCCTCCTGTATTGTTTCCTTCGTGTTGTTGCAACAGTACACTATTGCAGCCGCGTGTGTGAACTCTGAGAACGGCATTGCGGTAGTTTGCTACAAGCTGTTCGGCGGTAACCGTGAAAACACCTTGAGGCCTCTGAGCTGCTGCCCGGTAGCTTGACTCGCCCTCTATACCTTGAACTTGATTCGCATGTTCTAAATTGTGCCGGGCCCTCCAGTTGTATGTTGACTCGAGACAGAGGCATGTTATTTGCGTTCTCTATCTATAGTGCTTGGCAATGAGTTTCCGAGATCGTTGTCCGGATTCCCGTCGTACCATACCCCGCTGATTGCCTCATCAATCTCGTGTGCTATATTATTAAAATTTACATGTTTGCCACCAATTAGCGGTCATAGTCTAGTGGTTATGATTCCGCCTTCCCATCATAACGAATGAGATAGGCGGAGGTCACGGGGTAAGTTCTGCCGTTCACAATGACTCTCGTCACATTGTTCTAACATCCCTCCCAGTTCGAACCCCGTTGGCCGCAGTTTTTGGGTTGAGATCGGCTCTCCTTTTACTGTCTTCGCCCATAGCGTGGCCGCATCGTTTTGTAGCTAAGTTTGCCTTGCTTCTTGTTTGACCCTCTGTACGTGTGCATACGACGCACGGTTGAAGCCGGAGCGTTATTGGCTGGCCCCTGCACACGCGGGTGCATCCCGGTGTGAGTGGTCCATAACAACGCCCCAAACTCGTCGTCGGAGAAGTGTCCGTACATAATACCCTACCCATCATGCCTCTCGGCTTCGAGCGTATCAACGAGCGTACCACGCGCCCGAACCCCCTTATCAATTTCATCAAGCCACTCGAAACATCCGACGAAGCCCTAGCTCGAGACTTCTTGGAACGCGTGGCCGCCATCTGCTACCCCATTATGAAAGCGCACCACATCGCCGTCATGTCACTGGAAGAGTACCCACCGAATCTGGAATTCGTCGGGCGCAATTTCAACGCCGGCGAGGTGATCCAACTGGTTCTCAAAGCGCCGTCTACGGGACAATGGCTACCGTTCAGATACGTGCAGGGCGTTATGATGCACGAGCTCGCGCACTGTAAGCAGATGAACCATTCTAAATTTTTTGGCAAGTCAACAACACCTACCGATCCGACCTGAAAGCCCTTTGGGAGAAGGATTACACGGGCGAAGGATTATGGGGCCGTGGGCAGACGCTGCTGAGTGGGCAGTACAGCACCAACGCCATGCCGGAGACCGAGCTGCAGGTTCAGAGTCTTTGCGGAGGCACCTACAGGAGCTCGCGCGGCAAGAAGCGGAGGCGTGCAAGTGATAAGCCGAAGCTGAGCTATGCGGAGAGGCAACAGCGGCGCATCGAGAAGAAGTTCGGCAAGCATGGGACCGCACTCGGTGATGACGAGTCGGTCAAGGCGCGGCTAGAGGGAGGGAAGAGGGTGGTTTCGAAGCCGAAGGTGGCAGGAAGTAAGAGGGGAGGGAGCTGAGAGCCAACGCTGCGCTTGCACGCTTTGAGCAAGCGAGAGCGACGGTCGAAGACGAGGCAGTCAAGAAGGAGCCGGCGGACGAGAGTGAGAGTGATTCCGATTACGAAGATGGCGATCTCGGTTCTGAAGCCACTGATGCGCAAGGCAAACGCATCCTGGACGATCACGGCAACCGGATGCTCAAGGTCTGCGAAGACGAGGACCCAGCGGATGAGGAAGTCAAGCGGGAGCTGGCCGAGCTGAGGGAGTTCTACCAAGGTCCTACTGCAGCCCCGAAGCGAGTTCCCACGCCTCAGAAGAGGAGTTCGTCCGCCAGACATACGATATCGAACGTCCCTCTCGATGACTCATCTACAGCGAGCGAACTCAGCGACGACAACGAAGGGACTGCAGCACTTTCCACCGCGCCCACGAACCTAGAGAAGACAACGAACCCTCACCCGCTGCGCTCTCGTCCGCCTCCAAGTCCACGACCTCAACATCCAGAACCACACTCAAAGCATCCCGGATCTTCCGCCCCCACGTCAACGACTACTGCCTCCGCATCTCCAACGACCTACACAACCCCAGCCACCTCAATCATTCCCACACCCGCACCGCAACCTTCACTCGTGTGTTCGATCTGCTCTCTCGAGAACGAGCCAGGCACAGCCCGCTGCATCGCCTGTTCACACGTCTTGAACACTCACAAAATTTCACACGTCTGGACCTGCCAAAACGCAAGCTGTACCACAAGCGGATACCTCAATGCCGGAGACTGTGGCGTCTGCGGAATATGTGGGAGCAAGAAACCTATATGATGCCAAATAGGCAGAACAACATCCATAAGATTGCCAGAGCCGCCTTTCGCTATCAATTCTGCTGGAATCTTGGACCTGCCGAACATCCGTACCGGCGCAATGCACAGGCTGGGCACACATGGCTACGCCAGCCCCTCATCATCGCCAATGGCCATTGGACAAAAGCAACGCTGTCCGAATGAAGGAGATGGGGCAAAAGTGACCGTGGCAGGGATCGAACCTGCAATCTCTTGATCCGTAGTCAAGCGCCTTACCATTGGGCCACACGGCCATTGATGGGGGAGGAAGAAGATTAGTATGGATTATGAACATTTGTGATTGAGCAACGGCGGCAGGAAGGGTGTAGCAACAACCTGGGCATCATCCAACTGCCAGAAAGGGTGTGGAGATAGAAAGGATTGAAAAAAGTGATAAAGCCGAGCTGGCACCGGTGATTGCTCGGTCCTATCTCCTTTGCTCTGGCGCTTCTCCCGCATCTTGCCTAGAGAGGAATCAAGCAAAGGAACGATACGAAGGGTTCAACCCACATAGCTAGAGTCGAAAAAGAGACATCTGCTCAAGATTACAGGACCCAGGTAGTTCAGTAAAAGAACTCTTGATCCACGGAAAGGTGCAAAAAGATGTGATGGTCACTGCTCCTGGATCCGAGAGATTCGTATCTTCGCGCATGCCAGCCAAGCTCTGTCAAGAAGCATTCCTGGGCCTGAGCGTACGGCACACCGGGTCGATATGAATTCTGCTGTCCAGCGGTACTGAAGGACAGCAGATCGGTGGGCGAAGTCTTCACATCGTTGAACGCACCAGGAACATCTCAGAGGCGGTCCCATTGATTGTATCGGCTCTTCGTGCCGGTCTTCAGAGGGCGCGAGCAAACACTCCTATCGCCGGGCGTTCTAGTAACCCGAAAGCCATGGTGAATTTGAAATGAGAAAAGGAAGTAGATTGCAGACACATTGGTCGCAAGTGTTCCATCGTCGCCGCGTGCGCGAAAGGGAAGCTCTCCCGCGCCGCCGCGGCCCGTGCACACTCCCATCTCGAGCTTCATCTGCATCCTCCAAAAATTATCCCTACCCGCGACAACGAATTCCTCACGCGCCTTAACGTCCCTGATGGCGCACCTCCTTCGACCCTCACAGCCCATACTGGTGCGGTCACCTCTCCGACAATACCCCGGTCTGCGCCGCACGGCAACACCAGTACAAGATGCAGTACGCAGGAGCTTCGGGACAACGGGCGCGTGGAGGGCGAAAAGTGGAGGTCAGAGGAGCCAGGTGCGGATGCCTACGGTAAAGACGCCGACACAGCCCAGCGTGAAGGTCCGCATGGAGCAGGCGAAGAGGAACATCGAGATGATTCCTTATGACAATGGATTGTTGCCTGGTATGGAATACTTCCTCCTTTGCGCTGTTGAGATTCGGGGTTGCGTGAGCTGCGAGAGAGGGAGGTTGCCGGAAGAGCCAGTCAGAGGCGCATGAGTGCGAGGGAGGCAACTGGGAGTGTGACGAGGATAATGGAGGATGGCATATTGCGACTGGAAAAGCAACGAGGATTTCCAAGAGTAAATGCTGAGGCATTCGACGCAGGAACATTCATCATGCCGCACGGAAAGAACAGGCCTGCCATATACACAGACCCTCGGGGACGGCTGAAGCTCGAGTGGAAGCGGCTAAAACAACGGTTCATGGACAGCTTGGGGTAGGTGAGCAATCTCCCCCTCCTTACACCGGAACGGAGACACTGACAAGGAGCGCGCGTCGCAGCATCGCACTGTACAAGTGGTGGTACGTCAAGCCAGCCCCGAAGCTCGACGTGCGGAAAGTGTCCAAGATAGCCACGGATCTGCATCGTAGGATGTACGAACAGTTCGCCGCGTAAGTCTTGCCACCTCTGCCTTTCCCTTTCCCTCTTCCAACCGACCATTGCCGGATACTAAACAATCTGGCCTTCCGTAGCGGCAACGTCGAATCCCTGCGCCCCTGCCTCTGCGAATCCATCTCCGACTCTCTATCTCAACGCATCGCTTCACGCCCCACCAACACCTACCTCGACTGGAAACTGCACCGCTACGTCGGCTCCCCACGTCTGGCATCGTACCGCGCGACTCTACTCATGATGAACGATGACAAAGAGAAGCAAACGACTGTGCAACAGGCCGTGGTTCGCATCCGCTCGGTACAGTCGCTGCGACGAGTGAAGCGGGAGCGGCAGAGGGATGGAAGTGTGAGGGAGGTGACGGACGAGGGAAGCGTGGTCGGTTCTGGTGTTGGAGGGGCAAATGCTGGCGAGGGCAAGGACGTGACGGAGTACTTTGTGGTGCAGAAGATGATTAGAAAGGGTGTCGAGGGGCAGTGGATGATTTGGGGCACGACGGGGAGACGACTTTGGAGAAGCTCGAGCGTGACAGGAGGAGGGAGTTGGGCCTGGACTGAGCGTTGTCCTTGGAGAACGTTGCCGAAAAATGGATGGCTGCGCTGTAAGATACATGTACGATTCGATCACATGACAGTGCACTTGGGACAAGCAGGGTTGGTGGAGGTCTGTAGAATATCATATGCAAGTTCGCCGTTGCTTGGGACAGCATGTAGCATAGCAAAAGCACGCTTGGTCGCACAAAGCGAAACCCTCAAAATGAGCGATCCGTCACGCACATTCCCCGCTTGCGTGCAACCTTCCCCTTCCCATACCCTTGCTTCGGCTTCGCAAACTTCGCACACTCATGGAAAGGAATGCAACAGAAATAAGGGAATACTCATCATAGGAGTAACAAGCTGGCCGGTTTGGTTACCAAGGGTATCTTCCAACGCCCGCGCCCAGTTAAGATGCCCACGTCTTCGTCACATGTTCGTAGAGAAAGCCGATGATGGGTGGCTATGCGAGTCCGGGAGCAGGAGTTCGTAGTGTTGTCGTAGCGTCAACGACCGGCTGTCCCTCGTACCGGACGAGTGGGTTAGGCGCGGTGTTGGGCGACTAGAAGCCGTGGACCTGAAGCGATACTCCGTCAGCATGTTGCGGATGACACAGAATAATGTTGTGAGAGGGATGGGTATGACATACCTTGATGGTCTTGGCATCGAGCTCGAGACCTTCCTTCTTGTCGGTCAAGAACTCCTGAACATCCTTACGCTGATCTCCTTGCAGCTGAATCACCTCTCCCATCTCAGAGTCATTGACGATAGTGCCATTGCAAGCGAACTTCTTCTTGATCACCTTCAAGATCTTCTTTTGATCGAACTTC